GCGTCACGCTCGCGGTGCACTGCATGGATCACCGATCCCAGAGATGTGCCGACTGCAGTCCGGGCAGACCACTGCCCCCGCTCCTCAACGTCCAAGTGCTGCAACACGCTGAGGCGCTTCGAATCCACTGTACGGTAGACCAAGTCCTGGCACCGGGCGTAGTAGCGGAACAGGGTGTCATAGGGGACCTGCACATAGTCCAAGCTATCCGAGGACAAGGATTCCGGGGTCGTGGGAGGAGGATCACGGGGCCGACAGCCCACAATAGCCAGAGCCAACAGGTAGGTCTCGAGCTTCATGAGATAGGCCAGCCACGTCTTGGACATATCCTCCTCGGTATCATCCTCCTGGAGGTAGAGGCCATCCCCCACCTTGCGACGCTTCTGGCTGTGCGTGCGCTGAAATGTCAAAGACCGGACCGCCCATAGGTCCATGACCTCCAGCTGCCCCCGGTAAAGCTGACGGCTCAACTTGCTCAACAGGCGATCCGATGGGAACTGGCGGGGCTCTGGACGGATGTGGTAGCGCTTGTAAAATGCCTCTTTCAAGGACTCGAGCTCGGATGTAGGCAACAGGGTCTCATCCTCTGTAGAGGCAGGCGGCAAACTAGCCGCTGCATGCTCGGCATCCAGCATAGCCTTGCAGGAGTTCCAAGCAAAGCGAAGGCGAGATGAATGCAGTCGAGCCGGAATCTCCTCCATTGACGGCGAAAGGCTGTCCACAAAGAGCTTCTTGACCTCCTCGTCAGTCCGCGGGTAATGGCGAAACTCAGCCAATGTGCGGATGCCCAACTCAAGGATCTTGTCTTTGATGCGGGTGTCAAAGTTGAACTGGGCAGCCAAAGCTGTGAAGGTATCTTCAGGCGTAGCCAACTGCTTGGGAGGAGCGGCCGACATGTCAGCTCAGCGAGGGATCGTTGAGGTCGAATTGAACACTTGAAACTTGAAGATAGCTGCCGTACAATAACCATTGAAAACGGACCATGAAACCACCCTCATGACATGACAATTAACACACGGTCGAGCCTTTTATCTACCGACCCTCAAGCCCACATCACTCTACCTGCGGTGCCAACTCATTGAGCTCCCAGCCCAGGCAGCGCAGAGCATCCCATTGCAGAGCGTCAGCAAGCGGTGCCACCTCAGCATGGGCCGTCACCAGGGCCGAACGTAAGTGCTGGCGCTCATCAGGGGCCAACGTAGTACTCAATAACTTGATCTCGTCACAGAGGGTCCTCACAACTGATACGTAGGGGGGAACAGACCCAGGCCGGACTGGCCGCGCCCCCAACAATGGATGAAGTTCCGGCTCAGGCTGGGCGAACTCTCTGGGGATGTCTTGAATCTCATCCCACCACTCTATCCAGCTAGTGCAGAGACTCTGCATAGCACGAAGTTGGACCAGAACCACCCCCAGACAGGGGGAATCAGTAGGTGGCAGGGACTCCAGGGCCAGACGAGCCTGCTGTCCCAAGTCCCTCAACTGGACTGCCTTGCCCCGCCGCGCGTCGCCGTCCAGGGGCGCCATGGCAACAGCCGCCAACTGGATAGCCTGGGGTCGGTCCATGGCGAACGATCGAACTTGAATAGACGAAGCTGCAACTGGGAAGATTGATGGAAACTGACTGGGCGCGCATTCAGTCACACTTGCCCCCCCGGACATGACCTGCGCCTTTTGCCACAAATTCACTAGATGTACAGCCTAGGCCAATGCACGTCGGTCCGGACCGGGAAGCACAACCTGGCATGACTTGCAAATCTGGCGATCGTACCCCAAGGCCTCGTGCACAGACGTAGCACGGTGGGTATCGCCCCGAAAGCCCGGAGACGCCTGTCTCCACCGGCACCACGGTGCGCCTTCGCGCTCTACGTGCCACAACGCCCCTGCTTTGGTTGAACATATAAACACGACAGGGTACCGCGGGAGCTGGGGTAGGTTCCCTCCGCAGCTCGACCGGGCCCAGCTAAACAGCGCCTCGCCCCCGCGTCTTTTCAAGACGCCTTGGCGGTCAATCGCTCTCAGCCCTTCCAGTCGCGTGTACTCCTGATCGAAGTCGGTGCGCTTGATCCAGGCAAGGAGGATGGCCATGAGAATTGGTGCCCTATGCACTCCGGCCTGACAGTGGACCACAACATTCTTTCCGGCAGCCAGGGTGGCGAAGGCCGCTTGTTTAATATCCTGCAGGGCCTGATCACGTTTCACGCCCTGGTACGCCACAGGGCACGACATTTGGAAACAATCTCGCTGCGCGACCCCACCAGGACACTCAGCGGCGGTTTTCTCCATAGCTGAGGCAATGAACCCAATATCATTGCCGCTCACCCACCGAGGGTCTTTTGGCAGACCAGCAAGGTAGAGCGACCCATGGCCGTCAGCGCCCCAGAAGACCAATGTAGGGGGTTCTGGTCGTCCACCATGTCCAGGGTGTGCCCAACGTTCACGAGCGGCAATATCGAACATTGCATCGGAGACCTCATTGATCGGCCCCGCTGGCAGCGGAGGGCGCGCCTTGGCAGCCGGTGGCTGCGGCTTCTTCTTGACCGCCACTGCCGGAGTCCCCGGCACCCTGACAGGGGATGGTGGCTCCGCCAGGGCCTGGCTGGCCGGTACAGGCAGTACCACAGGGGCAGGAGTCAGCCTGTGCAAAGGAGGCTCATCCGGCCTGGGCGCCAAGCGCGGAGACACCGAAGGCTTCGGCTGCGGTTGTGAGGACGAAGATCCCGTCGAAGCTGTAGCTGCCCGCTTGCGCAAAGCCCGAATAATCTTCTGTCCAGCTGTACGGATTACCGCCAGGGACGCCGGCAACAACGACTTTACCATGGGCATGCCAGGGATGTCTTCAGACGAGGCACGAATGACCCTGGGGTTCTCTGACAGCAACTCGTCGGCGGCAATCATAGCTTCAGACCAGCGCTCCACAGCGGATGTAGTCTTAATTTCTTCCCAAAGAAGCTCACAGGCGCTGGCCAGGAACAAAGCAGCAGCAAGCCGGAGTTGATGGCCTTGCTTCTGTTTCCGAGCATCGTAACGCAATGGAGTCTGCGCTGTAGAGCCCCCACTCGCAGCGTCCGTCCATTGTCCAATGGCAAGGCGCTCGGTGTCAGTGAGCCGCACGATCCCCGCTAAGGTGGGCACCACCCGCCTGAAGCTGTACGAGCTGAGGTTCTGCACGTCCAGAACGCCATCGAAATAGGGTCGAACCACTCGAAGGAATTGCCCAATGGACACGGGGACACCTGTGTCAGAGTCGAAGGCCAAAAAGTGCCAACGACGATACCCTTCGCCATGACGTGGACGGACCTTGTCCAACTGACGAGACCAAATGGCATAAAGGTCGAGGCTGCCCAAATGCCGAGGGATCGACCAGGTGAATCCGTCCCGGGATCCGGTCTTGCCTTTGAAGCACCAGAAGATGATGATGGCGGAGTTGGCGCCGATAAGGTAGCTTCGCTGCACGTGGCAAAACCGAATAAGCCCAAACACCATGGCCGCCGCGGCCATCAGGATAGGCCAGTGAGCATGCTCGGCCGTGTACTCCAGGACCCCCAACAGGTGGGTCACCATGCCCGGCTCAAGCGGGGCGGCCTGGGACTGCCCCTGTCCCAGCCGGGTGCTCCGGACCGGAGCCGGTTTGGAAGCTTCCCGCAAATCCAGTGGTACACGAAGGTTTCGAATCATCCAGCCCAGGGATGTGAAGACACGTGTCGGCCCATGGTGCTCCCTGATGAAGGTGGCCAATGCATGGGGGTCGGGAAACTTCAGCCCCAAATGATCCATATAGCGCACCAAGTCCTTCCAGGTGTGGACCACGCGCTTGATGGTCGCCGCCTCGGTGCGGGCACACAGCTTCTCCAAGCGAGAAGCCCAATTGGCCATGTATTCATCTCGTCGTGCAGGTGGTGGAGGCATCAGTGTCACCATGATACCCAGCAGGTCACGAATAAACAAGGCAGCGACTCCACCTTGAGCATCAGCCGACTGGGCTGGCCGCTTCTTAGGCCTGACATGCCCAGCAAATGAAGACGGCTTCGGACGGGCCACCGAAGATGAAGGCAATGAAGAAGCCGGAGCACTGGATGGTTGTGGCGGGCGAGACTGGCTAACTGTCTCCCTCGCAAAAAGGTGCCGAACCAGAGCCGCCATCCCCGGCTCGCTCTCACGGCGGGCGAGATCCCACCCATCGGCCACTGCGCGACCAGCTTCACGAAGTGCTTCCTCGTAGGAGGTAAACCAAAAAGCCAAGTCGCTGGGACTCTGAATCCCCATCCTGGTGCACCAGGTATTCAGCTTCTCCTGCTCAACCGCGCGTCGAGCATCTGCGTCAGCCATGGCTCGCACACAAAAAGAATCTTGCGAATCAGCGACCCTGATTCACACGAGCGACACTCCTTTTGGCTTGAGCCTCAAGCTGAAAGGAGTGAGTGAACTGAATGACATCAAATAATTCCTCATCACCGACCCTGCCTACCTTGAATGAATGAATAAATTCTATAATATATCATCTGAGGGCGAAATGCGAACGTGCTAGTGCTAGTTAAACCTGTCCTTTGGACTTACTGGGTTTAATAGGAGTGTGTCATTGACTTGTCATTTCAAGCCAGTCATGTACGAGAAAATGCTTTGAAGCATGAAGGCATTTGCAGGTGATGAGGAAGCTCACCTATCTTGAAGCCTCAAACAAACGTCCCCAGAGGTAAGAACCTGAAGACGACCTGCGGAAAACGATCTTTGCCCACTTTGTGATCTTCAAGGCACCGTGTCTACAGTGGTCACAACTAGGGCCCAGTGAATGAGGTCACAACCAAAAGCCTACAGTGTATACAGAGCGCTTTTGATGTGCCACATGCGTGTCCAGGAGTCCAGAATGTCCTTTTTGTGTGTTCCGAGGCATGGCTTAAACAGTTGGCGAAGTTTCATCTAAAACACAGCCCTGGGCCCTGGGCCGGAAGAAAACGTAAACGTTGAAAAGCAGGAACCCTGGCTCCATAGAGCCGGCACTCCTCACCCACTTTGATTTTCAGATCACTCTCCCAACAGACTTCCAGCTCCAGCACGCCAAACATGGACGAGGGTGGATACAGCGTCATGGCGGGAGCGTGTTCGATGGATTTTGCAACCTCCTCTTCAGGTCTGTCCGGTCTCCCCAAACCCTAGGTGGACTGACATGCCTTTCCCTGTCTCGGACAATGTATGGAAGTGGAAGATCTCTTTTGTGCGAACCATGTCTCGCTTCCACGTGCTTGAACTGCCTTTTGCTTGCCTTCAAACCTTGGTCTGGGAAGACCCACCGTTGTGCTGCAGCATGGCTCATGACCAATACTCGAAATGGACGGCGGAAGCGGTTTTGAGAAAATGACAAATAAAAGATGATAAAAGGAGGCTCCATGGCATAGAATGTGCCCTACCTGCCGCTTGAGATGACTTTTGCTCGTTGGATGATCTACTTCTCACAGTCAAGCTGTCAGAGACGGCCAGAAGAAGCCAAGTATTGCGTTCGAACGCAAGGTTTTTCACCGCAAATGGTCTCCAGCACTGGGTGATCGAAGTTTCTTCCAAACACCTGTTCATGGGTTTTTTCGTACAGACACGTAGGACGGGTCATCACATGGGACGCGTCCCATTCTCCCAACTTCCTGTCCTGGAAGTCCAGGAAAAGAAAAAAAAATGGTGGACCTCGCCTTGTAGTGTAAAATTAATATGACTTAATGGTGGTTGGAAGTTGGAAGCTCAGGGAATGTATGAAATCAAGGAAAAAGGCGTTCACCACGTCCCAAACGCCAGTGACTGCCAATGAAAAGGAAGTCCCATCAGTGCATCATTCGGAACCCAGATTCTTCGAGATTGTGCGGAAGAGGTTGATCAAGAGCCATGATGGTGCCACTGGTCTTTATCACATCACATCCTTTTGGGGGGAATGGCTCAAACGGAAAGAAGAAAAACTTCTTGAAGGATAAACAGGAATGGTACCCTTTCCCACACCCACACACTAACACACACGTGTCTTTTCCAATCGTCTAGCAAGATTGGACCCTCGATGCCCACCCATCCCAAGCTCCAAACATCACCAGGCTCGCCAAACCGCCAAACCGCCAGCCAACTCCGTCGCCCAAATTCCATCGCAACGGCCGGTCACCTTGCGGCGGCCGCCCCCGGCTGGGGGTGCTGCTGCGGCCAGCGCCTGCGGTCGGCCCATCGGCACTGATTGAATATGGACGCAGGTGGCCCATCTCTCGAAAAGGTTTCTACCTCCTCTGGGTTGATGCGAGAACGAAACTCTGAAAACAATTTGTCAAATGGAATGAGATGGAATAAGGTCACATTGGTTGAGTGTAGGTGTCTTGTAGATCTTAATGAATGTGCCATTCGTCGCACAATCTCCCACTCGTTCAGGCGGATATTTTCTCTACAGCACTGGCAGGCTCCCTCTGGGAACCCTCAAAAATCTCAAACATTATGGGAGTCTACCGCCCTCGAAGACATGGCCGAAAATGGTCCCGCTTCCTTTTTTCCGGAAAATGACAGAAACACACATGTTTCGTTGAAGATGAACGTTTTCCCCTAAGAATCCTTGGACCCTCCACTCGGGGTAGAGGCTCCAAACCCAATGGTCTACATGTTCCACGCCTCTTCACCACCGTCAAACGACGTCCACACATCCACCCTCCGCGACGGTCTCACGCGGCGACCGTCGTACCTGGCGTGGGAGTACCTGGGGCGTCCGTGGGACGACGGAGCCGGTGCAGCGTGCTGCGGCGTGGTGCGGCACGGGCTCCCAGTTCCGAAGGAACTTCCGAGGAAGTCATGATCCGCCCAAGTCGGTGCGGCTTTAGGGGGGGTTGCCATGAGTCTGGACTTCCTGGACTTCGACTGGGCCATTTCGATGGGCGCCAAGTGCCAAGCAGCAAAGGTGTTCTTTTTGGGGGTGCGATGTGTGTGGAGTGGTCCTGGGAGCGAAGAACCAGCAACCTGCAACTGGCAGGTTTGCCCTGGTTACCGAACAACCATATGGTCTGGCGGCCCATCTGATGGGTGGTCTCCTTGTGTTGCGGTCACCAAAAGCACACAAAAAAAATGGCGCGCGTCTTCCTCCATCCTTTGAAGAAGTGACATCCCTAGCAGATCGAAAAAGGGCGGGTCTTCTTGGGTGGCCTCCGTCCCTAAAGCCGACCTCCGTCCCTTTCACCAGGCCTGCTGGAGGCATGCTTCGAGGCGTTGGGGCCTGGCACAGCGGGGCACAGCTGGTCTTGCTGGAGAAGGAGTGGGTTTCTTCGAGTGCTGGGTGGATCCTGAAGATCCTGAACCAGGAAAAGTGGAACATTTGATCACCTTGGATTGGTTTCCCTGCTAAACAAGAACGGTGAACATCCGTGTCCATCACGAAGCCTCTTTAAGAGCTCTTGAGAAAGTTTGTACACGTGATGATGGTCGCATTTTTTGATGTCCTCAACTCTTTGCAATGGCAAATCCACAAGGAGGTGTCTATCGCCTACGTTGAATTGTGGCATTTGTTTGTTTATCGGAAATTCACACTTTCTTGCGTTGAACCCAAAACGACTTTTGGGCAGTTGGTGCGTGTGCTCAAGCGTTGGTGCGACATTATCTTTTCGGTTGGCTCACAAACACTGCTACCGGGCGTACACAACCGGGACGACACCCATGCGGGTGGGCATTGCCAAGAGGAGAGATTTGGGGCGCTCGTCCTTATTTAATGTTTTTCCACGGAGGAATTGCGAGCTTTTGCCTTGAAATTGTTGGAGATCGTGGGATTTTGATCTGGATTGCTACTGTGGTAATTAGGTTGCACGCATCTCTTTCACTGTTACATAGAAGTCTTTTCCTTACTATCCGTCCTGAGTGTCGATAGTGATGCCATTACAAGACATGGCTGGAGAGGTGGAACAGGAGGAAAAACTGTATACAACAAATATTTATTTACAGTAACTTTATTTTCCAGGTAAAACGGCTCAGGAGCCCAGCTTCCGTCAGGCCAGTCAGCTCAGTCAGCTCATGATGACCATCCCGGATGCGTTTTTGCGTCCGCACGGCACAGTTTCCGTCGGTGTTCATCCACACCCGATCCGCACAGGAGCCCACCTTCCGTCGATCTGCACCAGACCTCACAGATCCGCAACGCGACCGACTGGTCGGTCGTTTTTCGTTGGAGACCAGCGAGCCGAGCAGCGAGCCAAGCAGCAAAGACCGGACCTGCCAGGACCTTCTCAGTGACCTCTTCAGGATTGGTAAGTGACCTGAAATCGAGGCCTGTTTGTGACCTCAGTCACTGGGATCTCAAAAGGTCACTGGGAAGGTCCTGGTGGTGTTGTTTTAGTTCCCCCCCAAAAAAAGATCTCCGGAACGCTTGGCGATCTCCGGAAGCGGCTTCCGGATCGTTGAGATCAACCAGTCGACGCTTCTGGCTCGGACTGAGGCGTCCGGCAGGTCTCGCCGCTCCGCGCCACGACTGCCCTGCCCTGGCGGCGTGGCGTGGACGGTCGCCCCACGTGGGGCGTCCGGCACCAGGAATCCATGAGGACCGCTATCATTGATTACACTCCCTGGAATCTTCACATGGAAACAAGAAGATGGCCCCTTGGAAGACCATTTTCCTCTAGGAACTGGGTGCTTTCCACTTCCATGTTAGTTCCAGAGCAGGAATGAACAAGGTATAACAGAAAGTCCTCCAGTTCCTGGGAGAGACTCTCAAACCACACCGAACGTCTGTTGAGGCTTCGGATCCGGACGAACGAGGATTCGGAACCTCGCGTCCTTCAGGTTGGACTGTTGGACGAGTATGAAGACTTCTTGTGGGAGAACGCAACTAATATTAGTGGTTAAAACAACATCTCCATGAAATAAACTATCCATGAAGACAAGTAGACAATGAAACTCAAGTAGACAAGTCCGTAAAGTATCCACCCATATCCATCCAGTGCCATGAAAGAAATTGATATCTCAGAACAGCACACACGACCAGAATCTCCGACCGTCCACGAGATGTCCTAAGGCCTAAGCCCCTTCTATTGGGCCAAATCACTGGAAGAGCGGCATGCTTGCAGTAGAAGCAGAGTATATGGCCCATTGTGCACAAACTCCAACTTGAGTAGAAAATAGATATCAGTGGAAACCCTGCATTGAAGCTGGACTCACATTCTCAAGTCCATAAACAGAGAGATCTTTATCGTCCTTATCTTCAATCCTTCACTCCGCTGCATACCACAGCAAACTAGGCCGACAGCACGGCTGCCGGGAGCTCGTCCTTGCCTAGCAGGAAGCTGCAAAACTGCCAATGAATGTACATGAAGGTACCAAATGGTGCAGGACAACTTCTCCATCAAGAGCATATCAGCACGTTCTGAAAGATCCCGATATGGTATCAGGTGCACCAACTGTAGGACAACCATGGAAAAGAACCTAGATCTTTTGGAAAGGTATGCTTCTTTGGCATATGCAAATGTTCCAAAATGAATGGATGCTACCAGCTTACAACCATGAACGGTTGTGGTTGGGTCACTCTGCACAAGAAGCTTGCGATGATTTGGCGGAGCTGGCACCGGGACACCTGATATAGCCCCTGCGGTAGATTGACCTCCCCAACCGTCTATTCTCTTCATTTCCGGTGTGGGAAAAAAAGAAAACACGGGTGTCCCGCTTTCGACCCACAGCTCTCTCCACCACAGAAGTTGATTGATTGCCGAGAACATCGGCAGTGGCCCCACACATCTGCTGAGCAAACGGCGCTCATCGGAACAAGCAAGCAAACCAAACCAAACAGCTTGAATGACATCGGTGTCCCAGACCGACGTCTTCCAAGTCCGCTCAACAAACTGTGCATAGGCATGTCTGAAAATGACCCATGTCTGAACTCCTCTCAAATCCGCTTGTGGTTTCTTCTCGCTCTGAGGACACCTATATAGTGGGTGCCGCGCAAGCGCACACGTCACACACGAACTGGTCACACGTCACGAACTGGGGCGTCGGGCGCCAATTCTGACAGCGGTGCGTGTGATGGCCTAAGATCAGAGCGGGTCGGCAGCGAAGGAGGAGAAAAGGACAACACAAGTCGATGGGTCAACAACTAAGTAATGTTAGAAATTGCATGAAAAGTCATAGAAGAAGCATTGGATGTCGATGAATGCGGGACTGATTGATGCTTGAGAAAAGAAAACGCCAACCTAGCTATCAGAAAGACATGTTTCCCTCCATGTATGGATCTGTCAAATGTCGAGACCCCTACTTCACAACAGCTTCCTAGATGGTCTTAGAACCCTTTAACATGGGCATCATCCATTTTCCGAGTCTTCGCGCCCTCGTGCTTGGACCATGGCGTTCTTTCCCGTCCACACCCCCCCGTCCGACCCGTCCAGCCCCCGTTCTTCCGGGCGAAGATGGTGGAACAACGCAGTCCACATGTCGTTCGTGACGATTTTGGAACAACGCCACTGTTGGATCTCAGCGCCGGCCCCCGTTGTTGCGTGACCAGCATATACCAGCTGATTCACGCGCAGTGACACTTGCAAGTGAGGGGCCGACACGCAACACTTACACCAGGGAATCTGAGCACACCACGGTCACCACGTGGGGGCTCGCGATCTGTTTTGGCAGAGAGACACGCAGAAAGGATTGGCGCTGGGCTCAGTCCAACAGACCTGTGACATCCACGTCTGGGCCGTGAGCAGAGTTCATCTTCCAAAGCAAAACAGGCGGACGCAGAAGGCGGACGCAGAAGGCGACACTAACTTGTGGATGTCTGACACCAAAACCCTGAAAAAGGATTGGTTGTTCTTCGGTTCTCTACATCTTCTAAGGATGCTACAGCAGCTCGTTGGAAACACTATGATCAAATATGTGTATAAATGTGACATGGCATGTATGCTGAAACTCGGGCGTGCTCATCTCACACCAAGCTTTGAGTTGCTTTACGCGAACCATTCATATGACAGGCCCACTGAACATGGAGCGGGGAGGTGGTTTATAGAGCTGAACTTTCAAGGTCGGACGTCAAAAGAAAAAATATGAAATTATACCGGCATAGACCCCAGATAGCATTTCAAGAAAAGTTAGACACCATGGCAAAAGCGCGCTTCAGCAAATCTTTTCCAGCCCTGCGTAGTTCGCAGTTGGAAAGTACGGATCGCTTGTGCAAAGCAGAAGGCTCCCAGCCAAAAGCGAAATCATGAAGGGAGACAAGATTGGGAGACAAGGCGGCAGCGGTACAAGAGCGAAATCATGAAGGGAGACAAGCTCGGAAGACAAGCCGGCAGAGGCAGCCAAGAGCGAAATCATGAAGGGAGACAAGCTTGAGAGACAAGGCGGCAGCGGCAGCCAAAAGCGAAATCATGAAGGGAGACAAGCTTGGGAGACAAGGCGGCAGCGGCAGCCAAGAGCGAAAGCATGAAGGGAGACAAGCTTGGGGAGACAAGGCGGCAGCGGCAGCCAA